TCCTGGGATGACGAATGAGGTGTTAAGTATCCATGAGGATCTTTATAAGATGTGGTTTACATTAAAATGTTTCAAAAACCCAGATTTGGGGTATTTAATGCCAGGTTATAAATAATCAGTAACTGAAACTGTTCGTTTGGAAGGCACTACGCTCAGCCTACACACATAATGCTCTGCCCACCACAACCTCAAGAACTTTGGCTAAGTCTTGCAGTCACGTATACCTGTCTTCAGCAGCACTGCTCCTGACCAGGTTGATGGGTCACTTCAAGGTGACCCAAGACCCAACCCAGGGCCAAGTGAAGAACCAAACTAGACTCTCCAACTCAAAGCCCATACCACATGCTTTAAGAACTATGTGTTTGTTAGTATGAGAAATCTTTGGAACAGAAACATGCAAGTATTCTTCAGAAAGTGACTTAATACAGCTTTAACCAGACAGGCCAATGGTTCCCTAAGAACCTATTCCCATCTCACAAGAGATGGAACATTCTGTGGCCTCGTACGAGTGATTTCCATCTCTTCTCCAAAGGTTTATAGATATATTTTAGAGCTGCCACAAACAAAAGTTGACACTACTGCTCCATTCTTCAAGATATAAGAGTCTGTATCTTCCCCAACCAATAGCCATGGATCGAGAGCATCAGATAAAATTGCTTTGGCAGGTCTGCAACTCACTATTAAATCAAGTATTTTCTATTCTATTCTTTTTGAGCATAAATAAGCAAGTAAATCTAAAGGGAATTCCACTGGGAATAGCACTGTAGTAGCTCTGAAGTTCTGAATAGAGACTTCATGGCATCAGCACAGTGTGAACTCACAAACTGCCAAACCAGATTAGACCAATGGTCCAGCTAGTCCCATTATTCTGCCTCTGACAATGGCCAGCACGAGATGTTGCAGAGGAAAATGCTAGAAGCCTACAATAATGGAATAATCCGCCCTTATGGGAAGCATCTCACCTCATTTAGAGATTGGTTTATTCCCTGAAACATGAGGATTTATATCACTCCTAGATTTAACCTATCAAATATAGCTATGGATTTTCTCATAATTCATACAAATATCTAAACCTTTTATGAATCCTAAACTCTTGCTAGTGCTTGATATTTTGTGGCAAAGACTTCCACAGATCTGTTGTGTTCAGTACATAGAGGAGTATTTCTTTAACAGTTTAAAATGCATGCCTTCCAATGTCCTTTGACCATTCCCTATGTCTTTGGGAGAGAACCTCACAAAGGGCTATGAATGAAGCTAAGTGATTACACAGTAAGCGGTAAATTCCATCACTGATAAGAGCTTGTTTATTGGCTTAATTTGGGCTGGGTTTCCATTTCCTGATGGATACTGTTGAGCTGGGATCACTTCTTACCACAGCCATCAACAGCCATTTAAGCACATTCTTTTGCTTGCCTTCCGGCTTCCCTTGTTTAGTCTGTTGTGCCTTTATTATTGGCTGCATGCTACCTCCATGCTAAGCCATGGATTTTAACTGCAGGGGTTGGACTAGGTTCTCTTTTTGTGATTCCCCTTTCCAATGGGAAGTGTCACTATGCTGGATTTTGGTACCTTTTCTCTTTGAGGATGTTGAGCATAGTTACATTGCAGTCACTATTATTTAATGATTCAACTAGAGCTCTGATCAACTCCTTCAGAACTAGCTGTTTCAAAAAAATGTAAATTGCTTCTTTAAACCTTTGCTGACCAGACTGACCATAGGAACGGCCATATGGGTCAGACCAATGGTCCATCTAGCCCAGTATCCCCTCTTCCAACAGTGGTGAATGTCACATGCTTCAAAGGGAATGAAAGAACAGGAAAATCATCAAGTGAGCCATCCCGTTGTCCAGTCCCGCAACTTATCTAATACTTTTTTGAACCCAGTCATAGTTTTGGCCTTCACAATATTCCTAGGCTGACTGTGTGTTGTGTGAAATCTGCTGCCTATTAATTTCATCGGGAGACCCTGGTTCGTGTGTTATGTGAAGGGGTAAATAACACTTCTTTATTCACTTTCTCCACACCTTTCATGGTTTTAGTAATCTCTTTTCCAAACGGAATGGTCCCAGTCTTTTTAATCTCTCCTCATATGGAAGCTGTTCCCTTAATCATTTTTGTTGCCCTTCTCTGTACTTTTTCCGTTTCTAATATATCTTTTTTGAGATGGGGCGACCAGAACTACATGCAGCATTCCAGGTGTCAGTGTACCACTGATTTATATAGTGGCATTACGATGTTTTCTGTCTTATTATCTATCCCTTTCCTAATGGTTCCTAACATTCTATTAGCTTTTTGACCAGTTTATAGAATGAAGTCACCCATTATTACTGCTTTATTTGATTTTTGTTGCCTCCACATTGTACACAGTATTTTTTCCTGACCCAGAGGCCATTAGTACACAACTCTACTGGCATATTTGTGTAACTTGGCATTTGCATCTCTGCAGACTTGACTGACTGGGCCTCTTCACTCAAATTCTGTCTCGTGTTTTAGGGAGTCTCTTTAGGTACAGTTCTACTCCCACCACCTCTGCATATGTTCTAGGGACTCTCAAGGTACAGTACTACTCCCAGCAGCACTGCAGACTAATCTGCCCTTCCTTTTTAGCTGGTTACTAGGTATCACTGTGTCCCACTGATTTTTGGAGACCAACCATGTTTCTGTAATACCATTCAGGTCAGGCTCCTCTTCCACTGCCAGGCATTCCACTTCATCCCGTCTGCTTTTTACGCTTCTTGTATACAGACATTTATCTTTGGTTTTGGCCACCATGCCTATTTTACAGCTGAGCTCTGGCACCCTATTACTGTTCTGGAATGGATCTCTGATCTCATGGCAAAGAATTAAGCTACGTCTACACTACTGACCTTACAGTGGCACAGCTGTACTGCTGCAGCTGCGCCTTTGTAATGTCTCCTGTGTAGCTGCTCTATGCAAGGGGGAGGGAACTCTGCCGCTGGCATAATTAAACCACCCCCAACGAGCGGCAGTAGCTATGTTGGCAGGAGACGCTCTCCCACCGACATAAAAGCACCGGTGTGGACAGCACGATCAGTAAAACTTACATCTGTCGGGGGGGGGGGGGGTTCACACCCCTGACTGACAAAAGTTCTACCGACAAAAATGCTAGTGTAGACATAGCCTTAATGTCACGGGTTCTTTCAGATTTTCATCATGTCTTATCTGGCAAGTTTCAAACAATGCTCTAAGTGTTTATCATGCATCACAAACATCCAAGTTTCCCAAGTGATACAAGCTGCATATTCCCTTTTTCAATTGGACACTTTACATACAGAATTAGTTATTCTAAATTCATTCTGTAGTAATCACTTCTAAAACCACACCCCATAAAGGAGCATTTGGAGAACCACAGATTTGCCATATTGCTTTGAAAATGCACAAGCAACAGCCATGCTACTCAGACACTACAAGATCAATCAAGGTGTAAGAGCAAGCAGAGAGCATGCCTTACTCAGAAAGGAGGGTGAAGACCACCAGAGATGGAGAGAGGGCAGAGGTTAAACGTTGTGAAGGGCTAGCCTGAAGACTTCATTGGTGCACACCCAAGCACCTTGAAAACTTTTCAACAAAAAGGTTTGATGGAAACCTAGAACTTGGTCATCGTCTGCCTGAGCAGGAGAAAAAAAGACACGTAACTAGACAGAAACAAGTTCCAAGAACACAGGGTGCCATAGTCATTGCTGGATTTGGCTGAAGCAGGTACAAACTATGGGCCTCAAACGCTGTCTCCTCTTCCTGTCTGAACAAACAAATGCTCATCAGGGAAGGGAGAAGCAGCAAGAAGTGATGGGAACAAAATTAGGATAATGGGAGAATTTAGTTTATCCTTCTCACACTAATTCTAGATGTGTAAATTAATGACAAAATACTAGCCCAGCTACAAAATCTGTTTGCTCATCCTGACCATCGTGATTATTAGAAAGCACCCCTGCCCCCAAGATGAGTTTGAGGCTAGTTTAATATCTGTTTAAGTTTTGCCAATGAAAGCGTGACTGATGTACTGTTTCTGCTCAGGTACAGTAAGAATCTAGAGACCCATCACACAATCCTTCTCACACCAGCGCACTGTCCCTTGAGAATGGGAAGTAAAAAGCATTCTTACAGACCACTTTGCTGGTCCATCCTCTTCTGTCTCGTATTCAACGAGATCTAAGGATGTGAGGCTAGGTCCATTAAAGGACACAGCCTCAGAAGCACATGGACAGAAAGTGGAACATCTTATTACTTTTCTAAAGCACTCCGAGGATAACATGTATTCAACAAAATGGAGGTTTTGGGGCTGAAGGATGAGACTTTGAAGTATGCCTAAGGTAGTTAGGAGCACAAGTCCCACTGACATTACTTGGAACCTGTGTTCCTAGGTCATCTGGACACATCTGAAGAGCCCACCCAAAGCCCACAGCAAGCGTGTCTGCTTTTTTAGTCAGCATGTAGCAAACATCTTTCTTTCTGCCCTTCCTGACATTTCAAATGCTTTGTGCCTCACTCAGGTTACTTCAGTGCAGTCCGTGTTTTGGAATGTTTACTAGCAAATGCCTGCACAAAATCGAATTAAAATTGAGAGTTTAAAATCGAATAACGGGTTTGGAAATTTTTGCACTAGTCTCCAGGGTGCTTGTAAGTATTTGGCATTATGGTCCTATGTACTAGATTAGGAGCCAGGAGAACTGGGTTCTTTTGCTGGCTCTGTCGCTGATCCGTTCTATGACTTTAGCAAAGTCACTTACGTTCTGTGCTTCAGCTTCTCCCTCTGTAAAGTGGAAAGCGTGATATTTTTCCTCGCTGTAGCATGCTTTGAGATCTACGGATCAGTGCTGTTTAGGAGCTAAATGTTTTTTCAGAAGTTAAAGACTACATCTAAATAACTGGATGCTTGCAGCCCTCTGGCTTTGTTACTGCTGTTTTGGTAAGATCTGAGTATCAATAACCCCACTATTAAATGCACAGACTGATTCCAGTCGACTGTGTCTATTTTTCAGGACTAACACAAGGATATTACAGTGCATCAGTTTCAAATGTGTGCGTATTCATAAGTCTTCTGTCCACATGTGACAGCTAACCTGACGGATGGACAGGACAATGGATATTTTATGCATCTGCTTTACTAGGAGAGTCAGTTTGCTAAGCTTCAGCGTAACAAGCACTGATGAGGATTTTCCTTCACGCTAAGCAGAGGCAAATGGAATTCCAGTGACACACAGCACATACAAGGAAGAAGCCAAGGCCAGCCGTCACTGTGTCCATTCAGACCGTGGGTCCAACTGTAACATCTGGTGCCAACATGAGCCCCAAAATGCTAAACCAGGCACGTTTAAACATAGGAGCCCAAGTCTGAAGACTAAGCTGTCTGCCTCCTGCTTCTGTACCCAACACGAACAGAAATGGAGGAAAGGTGCAGACCCTTTGCTACAAGCTACATTAATGGTTTGACTCACTTCACAGGTAAGGGGAAAAAAAAGATGATTCAGTGCTACACCACATGGTGACAGACAGCTGGCAAATGCTTTGTATACGTAAGCAGTGAATATCTGTTAAATATCCACATGCACTGTCCCATGATCCCTGCAATACTTTGCCTTGACTTGCCAAGTTGTACTTTTCATAGAAGGATAAAGAAGTTAAAGATAAGTTGGATCTATGGCAGGGGTAGATAATAGGCAGCCCGTGGGCCAAATCTGGACAGCCAGATGCTTTTGAACTGACCGTGACATCTTTTTATTTACTTCTTATCATTATTGTTTTTGTAGGATTTTCTCTGGAGTCTGCATTTTGAAAATACCTCGACCAAGAAATATGGACCTTGACAAACAATAATTGCTTACCCCAATCTATAGCATCAAAAAGTGGTGTACGGGATAGGTCCCTAGACTGCATTGTCCATGGTGAGGTCCATCCTACTGCAGAACTAGAAACCTAACAGTTTACAGAGCCTGTTCCTTAAGAAGATTACGGGCAGGATCCTACAGCCACAGGATTTACCCACAAATACATCCCTGGCTGCAGAACTGTGATCCACTCAAAAGACAATCCTACCCTTTATGGTGATGAAGATAAACTTGAAAACATGAGCAGTGTAACTACTGCAGCTTCATCTGCCCGAGATGGCAGAGAACCTGAAAGTGCCTCAGATATGAACGGCCCCCAGTCACCTCAACCAGGGCCCCATGCTAAGACTCAGATTGTCAAATTTAGTATTCCTCCTTCACCACCACCTCACCAGCCCAAACAGAGAGACATGGAATTCAGCATTTTTGCCATGGAATAGTTATTTGCTGCAGCCAGGTGCCTGACATCTCGCTCTGCAGTTTCCTCACTGGGGTTAAGTTCATTGTTTATACTGCATGTTCGCAGCACTGTTCCATGGAAGCAAGCTGCAGAGGCTAGTGGACCAGAGCTGGAGTCCAGCTTGCAGCTAGGGACCCAGAAGGATAGGTTGGCCAGCTGGGCTGCCTGTAGAACATGCAGCAGCCAAGGCTTGGGAAGCCAGAGAGATGAACTTCTGAGGTCAGCTCCATGTTTGCCTCCCACCCCTATTCCCAGCCCCACATGAGAGGGAAGCGGTTCTGAACAGGACTGCCTGGGCAGTTGCAGAAGCAAAGGCCCAGGCTACCTGGAGAACGCAGTGAAAAGCACACCCTTGAAAATAATCAATCAATGAGAATTTTCACTGATGAGCCACAGCGTGGGGGGAGGGAGAAGAGGGGGCATGGTGGGAACAGGATGGACAGGGGGACATAGATTGAAACGCAAAGGGTCATTTGTGATGGTACAATGTAGTTGTTGCTGCCATTTACTATCTGGGCTCCAATTATAGGGTAATTCTTGGTCTTCACTAAAAGAGGAAGACCTGTAGTTTTAGGTTTCAATAAATGTCCAGAAGCAGGAGGTGTCAGGCCAAAAGCTGCTCTTCCCCACTACCCAACATGAGCAAGTGGGGCAGATCAGCTCCTTTGGGGGCTCCAGGGGATTTAAATAACTCCGATCCAGCCCGACTCTTTAGTCCATCCCAGATTCTGCTGGAGGTTTGATGACAAGAACACGCTGATTCCAGAGCCATTTGAAGGAGTAAACGTTGACAGTATTCTGTGACAGAAACTGGAGCATGCTAGCCAGAAGCTGGATGGGCTGGGGATTCTGTTGTGGCAGCATGCACTTTCACAGGACCCAACGTGCTTCTGGCACACCTCACTGAGTGTTAAGGCAAGTTGAAGATTTCCCAGTAAAGGGCAAGTCCTGGCTTTGGCTAGTTTCTTTAAGAAACTTTGTGGCCTCAAGGACAAGACAGCTCTTATTCTAAACAAGAAACCCAACAAATCCTCTCAATCGATGGTCTTCAGGCCTTTGGAAGCACAGCTGTTCCCCCAGAGAGGTGGAGGGCCAAAATGAGGTTGATTTAGTTCACCAGCACAGCAGAGGTGACAACGTATACATTGTGTGTTCAGGGCAAACTGAAGCCATGTGGGTAAAAATAATCTGGAGTAGCGTTCCCTCTAATTTTTCCCCACTCATGTGCGGAATGAATTTTGTTATGTGCACAATATGGAGGTGATGTGTGACAAATCATCTCCATATTGGTGCACAGAATAAAATTAATTGGGGGGGAGGGCACGAGAGGACTCCCCCCCCCACCCCTTTCCCCACCAGCAGCACACAGAGCTCCAGAGAAAGGGCCCCCCTCTCCCCGCCGGCAGCAGTGAGCAAGCTCCCGGAGCCAGGGGAGAGGCCCGCGGCAGCCCTGCACTCCCCAACTTGCTCCCCTCCCCAGTCCCCGCCCACCCCCTACCTCTCTCCTCTCCAGGCCCCTGCTGCAAGGCCCTTTACAGCCTCCCACGCAGCTTAGAGGGAACTTAGATCTGGAGTAGCTTCAAGAGAAGGGACCTCTTCAATGCTAGATGGCATGAGCTCACTCAGACGATATTACCATTCCTGAATCAGTTTTGGCCAGAAAGAGGCAAAATAGGATTGCAATAACTCAGATGCAATCCCTGGGGATTTGACCCAAGTGCCGTATCAGTCAGCCCTATTCTTCCCATACTGCGGCTGACTAACCTTAACCCACCTGCCTGCACAGAAATGGAATAGCCAGGCTCCATTACAAGGACTGTCAACGAATATGAAGGACTACTGGACTGTCCTTGCACTTCCATGGACCAGCTGTACCAGAGGGCAGATGGAGGCCTCACAGCCTGCACTAAGGTAACCAAATTTACACCTTCCTGAAGAATTATGAACCAAGCTGCAATTAAACAGAAACTGCATCAGTTAAGACAGTGGTTCTCAACCCTTGGTATTGGATGCGGCCCACATAACACATAACCGCATATGCGGTCCACAATGGTAACTAGGTTGGGAACCACTGAGTTAAGACCTTTACTGCAGCCAAGACCTCAGTGCGAACAAGAACAGCAGTACATCTAAAAGGCCAAACCAAAGAAGTGATGCTTCACATGACATTGCTGAGGTGCAGTGGTTTTACGAAGGGCTTTTAATCTAGCATGGCAAGCAGTCTCTCTTGGAAATGTTCTACACCAGAAGCATGACACCCCAATGTAGGTATTAACAAGTGCCTCCAAGGTACATAAGCTGTTTTACAAACATCAGATGATTAAGTATCCTGAAGAAAACTTGAGGACATTAACATTTGTTTCCCTGCAATGGAAAGGAGAGTTTACCTTAAGTTGTCCCACAACCATACTGAGTATACAACTGTCAGGCGTGGGCTGGTGGTCTTGTGACGTGATGCTGTGCTGTATTTTTTGAAAAGGAAGGCTCTACAATGAGAAGGAAAAGAACCGGGTGAGCAGATCGGAAGTGTTCCCCTCCTTAGAATACATTATACAATACACATTTCATGTAGGAAATCAGTTAAGTGCAGTGGCATAAGAAGTTGAACTAGTTTGGAAATAGACACAAGTTTACATTCTCAGTGCCACAGAAAGATGCAGGTGGTCAGCAGAAAAACACAGGTACTCAGTTGAAGACTTTCTACTAAAGAACAAAATTAATTTTGCAGAGAAACAAATACTCCATAAGCCCCATCTCAAAGTGCAAGTCAGATTTAGCAGCTACCCTTTTAACGAAAAACACTGTCCCTCTGGCGTGACAACCTGGACTTGTTCCTTCCAGCCCTGTGAAATGCTGCAAGAAATCTTCACCAGGGAGGCCCTTATAATTATGTTATTGTAGGTTCTCATCTCAGGGCACGTCTTCACTACCTGCCGGATCGGCAAGTAGCAATCGATCTATTGGGGATTGACTTATTGCGTCTAGTGAAGACGCGATAAAATCGATCCCTGATGGCTCTGCCGTTGACTCCGGAAATCCACCGCGGCAAGAGGCGGAAGCGGAGTTGACGGCGGCGCAGCTGCGGTCGACTCGCCGCCGTCCTCACAGCCAGGTAAGTTGACCTAAAATACGCAACTTCAGCTACGCTATTCACATAGCTGAAGTTGCGGATCTTAGGTCGACACCTCCCCCCACCCCCCCATAGTGTAGACCTAGCCTCAGAGTCCCCATTCTCTTCTTCCTTTCTGTATTCCACTTTCTAGCATCTTCACTCCTCTTATCTGTTCTCCTCAGTTATTTCAGACACACGGATATGATGGCAACTGAATACTGCCAAGCTAAATTCAGCTAGGTTGACCGCAATCGGCTAACCCATTTTTAAAGGTGTTGAACCTGGTCTCCACCAGCTGCTAAGGAGTGCTTAAAAAGCACTCCCCTTTTTTCTTAATCTAACTAGACAGCGCTGTATGTTCGCTTTATAAATGAAGGGAAGCTCTGTTCAATATGAACTTTCATACTCCTAAGAGCTGTATTTGAAACAAAAGCTGCGCCAGTATCACTGAGGCAGGTGGCGTGCAATTTGCGATCCAATACCCATAGCTCTGCCAGTAAAGACCACAAACTTTTGCTTTCTCATCAGTATAGTGGCTGCCAGCAGAGGGCTCAGAAATGTCAAGTTTAGTCAAATGTACCTGTAGGGAGAGCGTCTTGGTTTCTACATGGGAGGAAATGCTTCCCTTATACTTTGGAAACTGGTGCTTTCTTTTAATATAGTCTGGTTCAGTAAGCACCTCACATGAGAACAGCTGATGAGCACTGGATTTGAGAGAAAAGTTGGGCATGACAATTATATTGTTGGTCTGCAGAAGGGAATACTCTATCTATACCTAATACAGCAGGTTTATGAAGTTCAGCATCATACACAGAACATCTCTGAGGGCACAACAAAAAGCAGCATTCAGTAGCAGGTCAACGAACGCCCACGTTGGTGGCAGTGAATTTGTGCACCCAATGCATGGCGGAGACTCTAGAGAGCAGATGTTTGCCGTATTGGTGATAATGTGGCTGCCTGACACCAAGTGCCATGGTTAGGTTAGGCCAGGACATTCATTCAAATCCCCTTGCCCATTTTCCTCTGAGCCTCACTTTCTGATACATTTCCCCAGGCTGAATTGCTGAGATTTTAGCAGAACGCTGCTTGCTTTGCGATGTCCCATAGCTCCTCACCTGGCCCAACAGACCTAGTGGCTGCTAAGAAAATTTGCAGGAGGTGGATTGAAGGGGTTTCACTGTAAGATGCCATCTGAGTTTATTTTGGTTGCTGGTCCCCTTATATGTGCTGCTGTCTTTTTAGCACAAGTGGTCCTATGTATGGTTATGTGCTTTTCACTTACAAAAATAAAGGTTTTAAATCCAAAAACACTTTCTTCAGAAATGCAAGAGAAGATTCATATAAGATTATTCTGTTAGTTAAGACAATAGACAAGGATTCAGGAGATCTGCATTCAGTTTTTAGCTCTGCCAGACTTCCTGTGACACCCTGGGCAAGTCCCTTAATCTCTGTGCCTGGGGCTATGGCTTCATGGTCTTATCTAGAGTTAGCCATCTCCATGTAAAAAAAAACTTCTTTTTTGCAATGAAGATACAGCCTTCACTCCTGCGCTGTAAAATGGGGATAACACTACTTCTCTTCTACCACCTTGTTTTTATTTAAATTGCAAACTATTTGTAGCAGGCACTGTCTCTCACTGTGCGCCTGCCACTGGGGCCCTGATCCTGGGCGGTGCCTCTAGGAGCTACAGATAAAAGAGTCACAATTAATAATAAAGGTTTTGCAGACCTAATGACACCTGTGCTACCCTGTTGCCTTTAGTGGATTTGCACCAGTGTAACGGATTGGAACTAAGTAAACAATTCAGTTGATGCACAAGAACTATAGGCCAGGTCCCTCTCAGCTGCGTTGGCTCTGCAGGGCTAACGGGAGCATTCACAAAAGAAACGGAGCATAGAGTGAAGATGCTCGGCTTTATCTGCACTCCGCAGGCCTTCAGAACACAGGCGTTTAATTCCCAAAACTCAAAATGCTGGAAAACCAGGATAAGGAATTACAGTGACACTTGGCACAGAACACAGACAGACTTCACCATCCCCTTCCCTAGTGAGTCCTTCTAGGGAAATCACAGGATCTGGCATGTCCCTCAGACTCTGCCAACCAGCAGCAAGTGCTCCCTGAAGTACAGTGAGAGTCTGTTGGCCTGTATGGATAGCAGAGCTGAATGGGAGCTGAGAAGGGCCAAGAGAAAGTGGCAGGGAGAAATAGGGTACTGGTCTGTTCCCAAGTCCTAGAGACATCTCCGCATGGGACAGAGTTAAGCCTGTTTGGGGATATGTTTCTACTCTATATAGA